ATGGGGCAGAAAAGACGCAGCTTTTCTTCTTTCTTCTCCTTTTTAGGTCTACTTAGTGGATATAGTGGCTTCCTTTACTTGATATGGTTGTTTGTTAAGCTGGACTTTTTTCTATCTCCCTCTTTTTCACTTTTCCATTTTGGAGTTCTTCAAATTCATTCATTGACTCTAAATGTGTTAGTAGCCAAAATCTCTACTCATTCTTGAAATGCATCTATCTTTTCTCAGATATGGAAGTTGGCTGTATTTGCCAATCTGGGTTGGTCTTCTTTTTGCTATTTGTAGCTAGCTTCCTATGTATTGACTATGGTGGGATTGAACAGCTTTGAAACAGGTCTTTAGGATTTCAAGACAGTGTTCTACTTGGTTTCTTCAAAGAAGAAGTTTGTTCTTTTGAACCTGAGTTTTGGCAAAGCATGGATGGCGCTTGGCAATCAGGAACCCTGCTGGATTCTTTGGCCGATGCCTTGGCAGACAATACCATGGATTTCGATTACATGGATGAATTGCTGCTCGATGGCTGCTGGCTGGAGGCAGCAGCCGATGGATCAGATTTCTTCTACCCTGGTCCAGCAGACTTCACTTTCCATCCATCGTCAAATGCCTTACCTTGTCCGGAGATCACCAACAATGTCGAGATGCCTACAGATAGTACACCTGAAATGGGCAAAGAAGAAGCAGTAGAAATGAGGAATTCTTCACATAATGGAGTTGGTGTCTCAGGGAGGGAAGAAAATGAAAAGGATGCAATTGAAGGTTACAAAAGGTGGTGGATTGGACCTAAAGCGCCTGGGAGCTCAGTAAGGGACCGGTTGATGGGCGCCATAGGTGGGATACGAGACTTGATCAAGGACAAAGATGCACTCGTCCAGATATGGGTTCCCACGGATCGAATGGGAAGGCGTGTATTGACGACTTACAACCAGCCATTCACCCTAGACGGGAGCTCCCAAACATTGGCTAACTACAGGGACATATCGACAAACTATCAGTTTTCAGCTGAAGAGGAGGACTCCAAAGACCTTGTGGGGATGCCCGGTCGAGTATTTTTGGGGAAAGTGCCTGAGTGGAGTCCTGATGTGAGGTTCTTTAGGAGCGAGGAGTACCCTAGGGTGGATCACGCTCGGCAGAACAATGTGTGTGGCACTCTGGCTGTTCCAGTGTTTGAGCAACAGAGTAAGAGTTGCTTGGGTGTGATTGAGATTGTGACGACGAGGCAGGAGGTCAAGTATCAGTCGGAGCTCGAGAAAGTGGCCAAAGCACTTGAGGTTTGTGGTGGATTGTTTACTTTCTGTGAAGTTTTAGCTTGAGTTTTTCTAGATTTGAAGAGTAGGTACTTTTGATGATATGTGCAAAAGTTCCATATGAATTTTCTTGCTGGTGTTCTTTTGTACTACTACTACTACTACTACTACTACTAGCAATTTGATTTGTGAACAAATAATGCTGTCATCTACTTGCCTTCCCATCCCTACCCTTTATATATGTTGAGAGTATGCCAAACTAAGCGATTCATATCGAAATAGTCGCTCCTTTGAATTTGTTATCAGTTTGGTTGAGTCAGCATGTCAAAATGGGCTCGCTGTGTCATTAACATCATCCAGTCAATAGCACACCATGCACCGACTGTCGGTCCTAACCCACAAATCCGACTTGCAACCTGCGTGTAAGTGAAGTAATAAGTCGATATCGAACCCACCCTTTATCTGGGAAGAGTTGGGGTCGGGTGGGTACGTGGGATGCTGACTAGGTGATCGGGGTAGGGTGGCGAGCCTATATTGCATCCTGACTCAGCCAGGATCAAGCGCTCAGCCAAACCACCAATAAATCATATGCAGTCCTGTTTTGGTTACAAATCACTGAGCTTAATTAACAGTTCCACGACGAAACCTTATAGTTTACTGATCATTTAGGCAGTTAACCCTGAAAGAAAGAAGAAGTGATTATGACCAGGAGGTTTCTAAAGTGCTGAACTTTATATCTCCATTTGCAGGCTGTTGATCTCAGGAGTTCAGAAAATCCCAGCTGTCTGAACATGAAGGTAAACCAGTAGGAAAGCTATGAATTTGTTGCATAATCAATAATCAAATGTTCATTTCCTGAGTCATATTCCTTTTATTTTTCAGGCTCAAGAGATTGCCTACCAAGCCGCATTGCCTGAAATCCAAGAAGTCCTGAAATCAGCTTGCCAGACACACAACCTCCCCTTGGCTCAAACATGGGTACCCTGCATCCAGCAGGGGAAGAAAGGCAGCCGGCATTCCGACGAGAACTACCCTCACTGCGTCTCCACGGTAGATCAAGCCTGCTTCGTATCCGACCCCCGAATTCAAGGCTTCCACGAGGCCTGCTCCGAGCATCACTTGCTTAAAGGACAAGGCATTGCGGGCAGAGCATTCACCACGAACCAGCCATGCTTCTCCGGCGATGTGACGGGGTTTTCCAAGACCGAGTACCCCTTATCACACCACGCCAGCATGTTCGGATTGTGTGCCGCGGTGGCAATTCGTCTGAGGAGCGTACACACGGGGTCCTTGGATTTCGTGCTTGAGTTCTTCTTGCCAGCAGACTGCCGAGGGGCCGAGCAACAGGAAGAAATGCTGAATTCGTTGTCGGTGATTATTCAGAGAGTTTGCCGGACATTGAGGGTGGTGACGGATGAGGAAATTGAGCGGGAAGAAGCGGATCTTTCGATTTGTGGGCCGGATCGCCATGGTGATTCTTCTAGGCCTCCTCTTGATGGTGATGGGCTCGAGGGAGCTCAGGAATGTGAGGGTGACGTTGCATCGCCGGAAATAGGCGCAGGATTGAGGGTGAAATCACCGGATGGTTTGAATAATTCTGGCGAGGGAAAGCAAGTGGATAGAAAGCGTACCAAGGCGGAGAAGAAGATCACATTGGAAGTTCTTAGGCAGCATTTTGCTGGAAGTTTGAAAGATGCTGCTAAGAGTCTTGGAGGTGTGTAAAAATGTTTGATCTTTTATGCTTTCGATTTTGGTTGCATGCTATTTTCGACACGAAGCTCGGTATCAAGACTGCTATAGCATTCGATGCCAAATTCCCTGCACAATGTGATACATATAAGCGAGTTTGGTAACAAGAATGGTATTTAGCTCTTACAACTTGGTTGTCACATCGAACTAATATGTTGCTGACTGCTTGCCTGTCATTTCTTCTGTTGTGATCGCAGTGTGTCCGACGACATTGAAACGAATCTGCAGGCAGCATGGGATCACGCGATGGCCTTCTCGAAAGCTGAAGAAGGTTGGTCACTCATTGCAGAAGCTCCAGGTTGTGATGGATTCGGTTCAAGGCGGCTCTGGTTCGTTGCACATACGTTCGTTCTACTCCAACTTCCCCGAGTTGAGCTCTCCACCGGCTTCGAAGCCAGACGATACCCTGAACCTGTTGAGCACGCAGCCTGAGGCTGCCGACATTTCTAGTAGTGGTGCCCATGTAGCTGCAGTAAAGTCAACTTCCTCATCTTCATGCAGTCAGGGTTCTAACTCGAGCCACTCCTTCTCCAGCGAGTCACATAAGCAAGTTCAAGCCACCGAGTGTCCTTCCATGGTGGGAAAGGACTCGTCTTCGTCAGGTGCAAGTGGGGAGATAAAAAGGATCAGAAGTGAAGCAGAGCTTCGTGCCTTTGGGGAAGAGGAGCCCGTTAAGGTACAACTTCCAAGAGCTCAGAGCCATCAGTCTCTGGCAGACCGGGGTAATTTGGGCGAACATCCTCCTCTCTCGGCAAAGAACCCTGGCATTCGGGTTTCCCAGTGGAAAGCAGATGCCCAGCGAGTGAAAGTTGCATACGGGAACGAGATAGTGAGGTTCCGAATGTCCAGCAACTGGAGGTTCAATGACTTGTTGATGGAGATTGCAAGGCGGTTTGGTATCGATGACATGAGCAGGTTTGATGTCAAGTATTTGGACGACGACTCTGAGTGGGTGCTGATAACGTGCGACGAAGATGTCGAGGAATGTATTGAAGTCTGCCAAGCATCTGGGAGCCAAACTATAAAACTCTTGCTCCAGGTTTCTTCTCGAGGCGTGTGATCAAGATGTGTCTGTAGATAGTGTTTCTGTACAGTAAAAGTAGGAGACAAGTGTTCTTTAGCTCTAGAAATGGTCTTTAGAACAGTTGAATGCAAGGTTCCCTATCGGGATCGTTAAGGCAAATGGGATCTTATATGGGTAGTAGGTTTAATTTGGTGTTTATCTGGCTGATTCATTATTCTTCAAGGAAGTGAATAAACTTGTAAAAAAATTTCAGTTGTTTCTGAACAACAGAAGGGGCTTGTTATTTGTTTTCAAGTGACGATTCAAACATGTTTTCAACAGTAGAATGTGGTGTTTTTAGACCGTGAAAAGAAACAGGGCTGTCCATTTAGTGCTGGCAACAAAAGTCCTTTCATTGTATGCTATTCTTGCTCGGTAATACGAGTGAACTAGTTGTGGAAAAGTGCCCATTCAAGTATTGCTTTAGATGAACAAATTTGCACGCCAACTTCAAAGCAAAATTTACTATCATTGTGGTCTCTGCTTTCTTTACATTTAGATGTCAGAAAGCATTGTATTTGTCTGATTTTTCAGCGTAGTATGTTAAGCTGAAGTCATGCAATATGGTGTATTCGGTAAAGCAAAGATCAGTAGCTAATAACAAGGGGCATTCCATGACTAAAAATAATCTATCGTCGGCCGATGATCTATGCTATTTCAGTAAGAAATGACACTGCATGTGATGTAATCAGCAGTAACTTAGTATCTCCTCATGGCTGCAACGAGACAGAAGGTCGATCTTCTTGCTTCTCGAAACTGATACTAGTCTGGTTTGTAACTGGAGAGACCTTTCTCATCTCATCTGGTGCAATACCATTAACCATGCTATTTTGTTCAGCTGCAGGCTTCATTAATGGTTCACTAGGTATATAAAGATTGTCAAGAGTATCTTCTATGGGGGGGAAAAAATGAAAGAGACCAGTTCTAGAAAAATAACCCAAGCAAAAATAACTTAATACCAATGAGCATTGATGTCAATTTTGTAAGGGGTGCTATGAATGGATCCCTTTTATTGATAGAATCTACACATTTTGCTCCATTCTTCATAGTAAATAAAACAAGAGGATGGAGGGAAAATGGAGGAGAAGTGGAAAAGAAGAAAACAAAACAAGCTCTTTCTACCCTCCCAAACATCACACCCTTATGTACAATTCATGTACACATTCTGTATAACATATAAACAACATTCATTGATTCGTATTTTTTTATGTATACTCACTCTTTTCCATCCCTTTCTCACAGCTTGCAAGAAATCTGCAGGAAAAACTTCACACCATAAGAACTCAGGACAAACTCAAAAAAACATAGTTCTTCCTTCCATTTAGATCATACCTAATTTGACTAAGCAACTTACTTGCGATGATCCAATGAAGGGTGTTCTAATCCAGAAAATCAGCCTCTGAGCGCCGACCACAGACATAAATTAGAACGAAGCGCTAGTGGTGACGAGATCTTGTTTCTGAGGGTCTCTATCTGAATTCGAGATAGGCGAGGATAGCAACTGCTGAGGTGCATTTACCTTCGATTTTGAGGAGGGTGGCATCATTGGTCTACTTCTGTCTGATTTTGAGGAGGGCAAGACGATTTCACTAGGGGCATTTACCTCTGATTTTGATGAGGGTGGCATCATTGGTCCACTTCTGTCTGATCTTGAGTAGGGCAAGATGATTTCTCTACGAGCATTTACCTCTGATTTTGAGGAGGGTGGCGTCATTGGTTCACTTCCGTCAGATTTCGAGGAGGGCAAGGCGATCTTGCTTAGTGCTTTTCCGCTCATGTGCTCAGCGCTCTGTGCAGCTAGGTACTCGAGAGCAACCACTATGTCGCCAATCAGAGGCCGGAAATGTGCCTCTTCGTGGAGGCACATTGCACATACGGCAATTGCATAGTTCAGAGAGCAACGAGGGTAGCGGCCCTGGAGCTGAGGGTCGGCCATTTGACAGAACTACTTCGGATCTTTCAGATAGGGGCGAGACTGCAAACATTAAAAGGGAAGGCGAGAATTTCATTACTATGTATCCTATGCTAGCTCTCTAGTTTTGTTTAAAAGCCTAAGGGTTTGGTAAAGCTAAGAAAAAAACTGAAGACTTTTCATATCACTCACCCAAACAACGAGGTTCTGTTCACCTTGCCTTCTGCTATAATCCATTGCCTTCCGTCCAGTGATGAGCTCCAACAGAACCACACCAAAGCTATAGATGTCGGATTTAAGAGTCAATTTCCCGCTCATGGCATACTCCGGGGCACAGTATCCGTATGTTCCCATGACTCAAGTTGAGACATGAGTGTTGTCGCCAACCGGTCCCAGTTTCGCAAGCCCAAAATCTGATAGCTTGGCGTGGAAGTCATTGTCCAGCAAGATGTTAGCGGATTTCAGGTCGCGGTAGATCACTGGTGGATTGGCTTTGCAGTGAAGGTACTCTAGGCTCTTTGCCATCTACATCTGGGATACAAAAACAAACACCACCATATGCAACATTCAAGTTTAATGCTTCACTTTTACTCGATGAAGTTGCAAGGAAATCAGTTGAATTGTGAATCCATCCCATTCTTTAAAAAAAAAGATCCAACATGCAGAATTCGAAATCCAACCCCTTCCAAAAGACCATCTTGATCTCCACATTTAACAATTTTCACCAACTGAAATCACTCATCCAAGCAGACTATAATCTATCTGATTCTAGATTCTATTACAAAGAATTGGATGAACTCAATACTAGCAAGTAGTAACACTCATTCGACCATGGTCAAATATTGCAGAGACATGCATTGGTCTTAGAAGATGGAAATGCCATTACCGAAAAGATGATGTTCCAAGCTGCCTCGTGGCATGTACTCGTAGACCAACAATCTCTGGTCTCCAGCAGTGCAGTAGCCAGTCAAGGTAACAAGGTTAGGATGGTGTAGCAAGCTCAACATTAGAACCTCAACGATGAATTCCTGATTCCCCTGCATTCCATACTGGTTCAGCTGCTTCACCGCAACAGTCTACCACATAAAGATTACGCACGAACAGAAGCAATCAGGGGAAATGAATCTCATTCGGCCCAATACATCAGCATATGATATGGTTAAAAATCATATCACCCACCACTCCTTTATGTATCACATTGAATCCTAAACGACAACTAAAGCACCAAACACTCCCCAACCGTAATTTGATTGGACAAGTTTCGAGCTTTAGGTGTCTCAGATATTAGGTTTAATGCGCAGAATGATGGGTAGAGATGAGTTCGGTGACAAATTTGATCATTGTAAAGAAAAGTATAATATACCTCGCCTTTGTCCAGACGGCCTTTGTAAACTCGGCCAAATCCTCCTTCTCCGATCAAATTCAAGTCCCTGAAATTCTGGGTTGCATTCACCAGCTCCCTGAACGAGAAACTCCTCGACCCACTCCCCTTAGATAGCTTGTCTTCCAGTTCTTTCTTCGTCTTCCCGCTACCTACATCACCATACCATGAACAAAAAAAAAATGACAATCGGAAGAAAAAAGAAGGTTCGAAAGATGACAGGCATTCAGATTCAGATTCGAACCAGAGTCATCGGAGGAGTTGCTGTGGTAATTGGAAGACCCAGGGGCCTTCTCAATGTCGATCTTCCCCCCCCCCCCCCCCCCCCCCCCCCCCTTCCGGCGATTAATGCAAGAGAAGCAGCTCATTTGTTCCTTCCTAAATTTTTTCTCAACAAAAGAAATTGAAAAGCCCTAAAAACCGGAGGAAAAAATCCCAGAATACTCTAATTATTAAAAAAAAAATTCTCTAAATACAGTACTTATAAAATTAATTCCCAAAGTACAGCAGTTTCAACATCACTGTCTTTGTCTAAGACAGTGATGTTGATCACCGTTTTGGTCTAAAACGATGATACATCACCGCTTTTGACAAAAGCAGTGATGCTATCACCGCTTTCAAGGCCGACAGTGATAGCATGACCGTTGATGAGGGAAGCAGTGAGGGCCTTCACCGTTGGATCCAAAAGCGGTGAAGTGGCGCGGATCGCTGACGTGGACGCACGCGGGCACTTCACTGCTGAAGACCAAAGCGGTGATAGCCCCGCTTTCCACGTCAGCGATCCGCCCCACCCGCGCCTTCACCGCTGCCGTCCGATGCAGTCATGCGCGGATTGTGGTTTTTCTCCACAATCTGACGCATCACACGCCGCCACGTCACCTATCCGTGCCATCACCGCCTTTGTTGGACGCAGTGATGTCACTGTGTTTCTTCGGGGCGGTGATTAATGCCCAAGACTTTTCCCCCCTTCAAACACTATAAATACCCATCCCCCCTCATTCCAAACCACACCACCACTTTATACTTCTTTCTCCCTCCATTTTTCACTCTAGTTTCGTTCTAAGTATACTCTGTGGTTGCGGCTAAGTCCGATCTTCCGCATCATAAAGAATTACTAGAGTTTTTGTTTTGTTGTTTTGTCGATACTCTCGCTAGCTTTTCGGCAAAAAATGGACGAAGAGGCTTTGAGAGTACGTAAATTTATTTAATTCTTTTGTGATTTTTTTTACATGGGTGCTAAAATTTAAATTGATTTGATTTCATATTTTTTTATAGATGGGTGCTGAGATATACGACCCTAGATTGTATATCGATCCTGGCCCAAGGGATCGAAGGTATTTAACCGGGCAAGATCAACATCGCTCTCGTTCAATTTGGAACAATAATCCGGTAGACACACTAAAATTATTTCAATAGTTTTAAAGTTTTTATTTTGCTTTCTAAGTTTTTATTTTGCTTTCTATTGACTGACAATATTGTGTTTTTTGTTTTGTAGGAATCACTTATTCCCATCAGTCATCGAGGGACATGTCGATTGCCCCGTTGGCATCCTCGACTGCAGCCCTATCTAGAGAGGGCGGGATTGCACAATCTGAGGCACTTTATGAGGCTTGATATTGACAACGATCTGCTGACGGCAATGGCAGAGCGATGGCGCCCTGAGCTGCATACCTTCCACTTTCCCGAGGGTGAAATGACGATCACCCTCAAAGATGTTGCCATCCTCACCGGGCTCCCGATCACCGGAGATGCCATCATCGACAACTCGAGAAAACCAGAAGATGGTTGGGGGCCATTGATTCAGGAACGTTTGGGGTTCAACATGCCGACCACCACGCCCGTCGAAGGGGTTGGGCATCCACCACTGAATGCGGGGCAAGTATCGATCCCGTGGCTTGTTGACCACATCCAATTGGAGGTTAATATAGGCCCGGATACTCCTGAAGATCAGGTGGAGCGGTATGCACGTGTATACCTAATTGGCTTGGTTGGTGGGTTTCTGTTCCCCGACAAGTCAAATAAGTGGATACAAGGCATGTGGTTCCCTATGCTCCTCGGTGACTGGGACGAGATCGGGAGAAAAAGTTGGGGGTCGGCCGTCTTGGCTGGGATCTACCGAGAGTTGTGTACTTGCTCAAGGTTGGGAGCGAAACAAGCTGGTGGTGCGATGTTCATACTTCAGCTCTGGGCATGGGAGCATCTTCCGTTTCTCGCACCTCAAGACCCTCGGGAATTCTGGTTGCCAGATGATGAGCTACGATTTGTAGCAAATCCCCCATATGGTTTCAAGTAAGTTCAATTTAAGTTGAATTTATTTTAGATATGCAATGGTAGCTAGTTAGGTGAATTTAGATTTTAGTGAACTTAGTATGCAATTTTAAGTATGCAATTATAGTATTTTAGTGAACTTAGCTATCTTCCAACTAAGCGAATTTAGAGACATTTTAAGTCTGCAATTCTAGTATTTTAGTGAATTTAGATATCTTCCAAGTAAGTGAATTTGGATTTATTCTAACCAAATCGTATTTAGATAATTTAGATTATTGCCAAGTAAGGAATTTCATTTCAATTTAGATGCTTTCATACAATCATACTTAACAAGTAAACATCTCTGCTTTAAAAATTGCTTATATATGTACTTTTGCTTAATTAGGTGGATCGGAGCAAATACAAACGACCACCAGCCCGAGCACCCTTTACTGTTTTATCGTGCTGAATTTGATAAGCCTTGGTGGAACCAGGTAAAAATATAAAATGTCATGATTTTCAATTTATTAGGTGGAGTGGATATAATTTTTACTAATTCCATGAATTATAATGACTGTAGGCGGTATGGGATCCATATCCAAATGAAGTGGTTGAGTTGCATCGTCTTAGACATCCCGAGGATCAAGAGACATGGTTGTGCAAGGTGCCCTTAATCTGCTGGCACATGGTGGAGTGGCACCTACCCGATCGATCTTTGAGGCAATATCGATTGGAGCAACCAATTCCAGCATCCCCACCTCAAGGGTTCAGGGAGCTCCACGCCATTGACCTACGCTACAACAAAAAGGATTGGACCCGCAAGCATGAATTCTACATCAACATATGGGAGAATAGAAATCAGTGGGTGGTCCAAGGGGTGCCGGAGACAAGGCCAATGGGGTACCACGATGGCTACATACGGTGGTATCGGAACTTCACGCTAAGATGGGTGTCAAATCAAGGTGTTGTTTGGGGCGCAGTGGTAAGTGAATTCCATTTTGACCTATTTTAGTTAATTTTTGTAGTATGATTACATGCCTATATTAGCTAGAATGTTAATTAACATTATTAGATTTAATGTTAGTTAATTTTTTGTAGTATGATTACATGCCTATATTAGCTAGAATGTTAATTAACATTATTAGATTTAATGTTAGTTAATTTTTGTAGTATGATTACATGCCTATATTAGCTAGAATGTTAATTAACATTATTAGATTTAATGTTAGTTAATTTTTGTAGTATGATTACATGCCTATATTAGCTAGAATGTTAATTAACATTATTAGATTTAATGTTAGTTAATTTTTGTAGTATGATTACATGTTTATATTAGCTAGAATGTTAATTAACATTATTAGATTTAATGTTAGTTAATTTTTGTAGTATGATTACATGCCTATATTAGATGATAGAAATCATTATTAAATTTACTATTAGTTAATTTTGTACAACAATTTATTAGGTTGACGGTTTGGAGCATGCGAAGCACACCGTCTTCCTCCACCCCAAATACCTGTTTGCACAGCAAAAATACCTTCATTGCGGTTGAACAGAACAACTCTGTGCTTACTTGATTTCTCTTCGATCTTCTGCATGCCATCAAATATATGCTTAGCTATTGAATGACCAGCACGCTCCCTCCCAATAGCAGCATCCCGTCTCTTCACAAACCACTCGTTTACCTTCCAGTATGTCATCTCCACTAGGACAGATACACGCATTGCCCTAATGCCCTTGTAGACTCCATTTATGCTCTCGCCATGGTTGGTAGTTGCAATTCCGAATCTAGCCCCGTTGTCCATGTGAAATGTCCACATGTGCAGATCTTGACCTTCTGCCCATACTGCTCCCGCCCGGTGTATTTGACGGATCGTCTTCATCTTCTGCTCGTACTTTTTAGGTTGATGTGCAACCGCTACAAAACCGGAGAATTAATAATTAAGCCATAAGAAATTTCATTTGAACAATAAACCATGAACAAGCACTGAATTACATTACTACCTGCACTCCACAATTGATCTCTTATGTCTTTCTTCTTGCCAAATTTGTGTTGGAAATTGGCTAGGAAGTGACGAATACACCAACGCCATGTCCATCCCCATTCGTCCGGGAAACCACGAACGGCGTGTTTAATCCCGGCATGTCGATCTGATATAATTGTAATACCCATTCTTTGTGTGACGTGGGAGTGTAGCTGGTCAAAGAACCATGCCCACTTAGGTTGTTCTCCCCTTCAACTAATGCAAATGCTAAGGGAAAAATACTTAAATTTCCATCAACCCCAGTGGCAATAAGAAGAGTTCCTTTATACTTCCCAGTAAGGAAAGTTCCATCAACCTGTTAAAATGAATAATGAGTTAGTAAAAATTGAAATTAGTAAAGTAATGAAATAGTACAATATTTTGAGTCCGTAATATACCTGAATCACTGGCATGCAGAAGGGAAACCCGTCAATGCATGGCTTGAATGTCCAGAACAGACGATGAAACATCAACTCGTTCTGTACTCGAACTTGATCTTCAGTTTCTACGTTGTTGTACCAAGGCACGAAAACCGTCCCAGGGTTGGACTCCTCCATTGCGGACATTAGTCTGGGGAGTAAAGCATACGAGTCATCCCAATCACCGTAGACCTCAGCCATGGCCTTCTGCTTCCCATGCCACGCCTTCTTATACCTTATGGTGTAGGAGTGTCGATCCTTCACCTCCGCCATGATAGCTTTTATCTTGATATCTGGTTGTGCCTCGATAAGGTGCTTAATGGTTCTTGCCACTTTTTTTGCTTTCAGTTGCCGGTGATCCTGTGAAAGTATGGTTGAGGAGCAACTGTGGTTGTTCTCTACTGTCCGCATGACTCAGACGCCCTTTCTCTTCATATATGCAGCACGAAGTTGCCACATACAACCCTCTCCAGCATTCTTACAAATGACATGCAGTTGTCCCTTGTCAGAATATTTTACCTTCCATTCGAAGTTACGCCGCATGGCTTCTTCGCTAAAAGCGTCTTTCACATCGTCTTTCGAAGTGAACGCCATACCCACTTCCAAATTAGAAGTCGGATTATACACAGGCATGGGCCGAAAGTCAGGGGCATCGTTCTGACCATATAAAAATTGATC